GCAAAGAGGCACGAGTGATCTGACGAAATGTTGGGGGAGTTAACCTGCAATACACTAGCATCACATCATCGGGACGGGGGGGGGAAGGGTCGACAAACTCCTAAACTGGAGAGCAGTCTACTTGTTTGCTTTATCATCATTTATGTCATTTTTTTATTCACCAATACCATATTACAACTTAAGAAACCATCATTTCGTTCGTTCTTGTACGTCAGTTCTAGTTGGCAGTTTTCCATTCTCTCCGCGCCTGAAGTTTAATTTCTTTCTCAGGTGATGTATGGACGATTTGGTAACAAACCAAATAAATTTGAAATTGAGTCTTACGAACATTTCGTTCTTGGAAATTGCAACGATTTAAGGCTATCACGGATCCTGAGGATTACTATCTCAAGGTATACCATTTTCATAAGTGAGAGGCCAAAGTATTAACTAAAGTAGTTTTTTTTTAATGCCGAGGAATAAAATAGATTTTAGACAGGTAGAAGAGCACATCGTTAAATGATATGCCTGTCAAATTACTGTCCTTATGGCTTTGTTTGCTCATATTTACGCCTAAAATACTGTTAAATATTTATTTAGGACAACATTGTTTTAAAGAATTGTGTGCCGATTTATCCATCCATCCACTCATCCATTGATCCATCCATCCACTCATCCATTGATCCGATCCATCCATCCATCCTCCTTTCATTCGTTCATTTATAAATTCTTAATTTGCCAATTGATTAAATTTATTTTTCAAATAATTACTTAAAATAAGTATTCATTCCTTTCCTTTTCGTTTCTCTACGTATTTATTTATCTGTTTCGTTTCACCAGAAAAGGTTTAATCGCTGCCGACTATCTGCCGCTGAAAATCACATTTGATCAAAAAACCAAGCGACTGCACCCAGAACCTGTAAAGAACGCGAAGTGGATCACTGTATGTGGAGATGAAGACCCAGTCTGCCATTGTCATAATGACATTACAGACGACTGGTAAAATAAGCTTAAAAATAAGATTCATCAAAGGAGATCTTCGAGTCTCGTATTTTCAAATCAGCCATCGGCCCCACGATGAGGACCCGGTTTGAGATTTATTTCCCGCCTATCATTCCATGAGGTTAAAACAACTCAGCTGTTTTCTTCACAAGGGGATTGTTGGTATAAAGACAAAAATAAGTTCTTTGATTATTCTTTGAAATAAGTTCTTTGATTATCACAGAGTTAAGCCTTGAGTTCTTTGATTCTTTGATTGGGGGAGGAAGACTAATTATTGAAAGGCTTCGTTCGTATCGGAAAATTCATCAAAGGAGATCTTCGAGTCTCGTATTTTCATATCGGCCCCACGATGAGGACTCGGTTTGAGATTTATTTCCCGCCTATCATTCCATGAGGTTAAAACAACTCAGCTGTTTTCTTCACAAGGGGATTGTTGGTATAAAGACAAAAATAAGTTGTTTGATTATTCTTTGAAATAAGTTCTTTGATTATCACAGAGTTAAGCCTTGAGTTCTTTGATTCTTTGATTGGGGGAGGAAGACTAATTATTGAAAGGCTTCGTTCGTATCGGAAAATTCATCAAAGGAGATCTTCGAGTCTCGTATTTTCATATCGGCCCCACGATGAGGACTCGGTTTGAGATTTATTTCCCGCCTATCATTCCATGAGGTTAAAACAACTCAGCTGTTTTCTTCACAAGGGGATTGTTGGTATAAAGACAATCTTCTTGCAACTGAGATATCTCCTTCTTTTATCAAGTTTTCATCCAGTTGTTGGTGAAGAGTAGAAATGATTCCTTCCCTCGGTACTTTCTTCCTGAGGTCCTTGTCTCAAAATCTGGCCAAGACTTCTTTGTATTATCTTGTAGTGCTCATGTAATATGCACGAAGATAATACTTAAAACCTTCAGCCCAGTGATCATGAACGGCAAAAAATGTTTTTATGTTGTTACCGTGTGGAGTGGAAGATGCTAATAATCAGTTTACAGCTTCTCTGTAGATATGATCATATTTTCAAGCAGAAAGAGAAGAAAGAAAAAAAGTTCACTAGAGTTTATTACTTAATTCAAAAATGGTCCCCTCAGGAGTGCTTACTTATGCCTCTTGATTCCCTGGGGAACAAAGGGCAGCACCCTCAGGAGTAGCAGAAGAGATTTATAACTAACAGCGAAGATAATTTCAATTTTATTACTGAAAGGGTTTACACATAGTAGAAATAAGACAAGAAGAACAGTTTTGCTCGCATATATCGGATTTCTGGATCAATATTAGCTGCTAAGCCCAGGACGACGCAATATATAAAAAGCCATTCATAATTACTATAACCTTAAACAACGCTATGGAAAACACCACCAGTGAAAATGAACACCCTTTATGTAAATTAAGTCATATAATTGGCTTTATGTTTTATTGTATGGTTATCAAAGTGTTAATTATTAAAATGCGACTTTAAAGATTTCATAAAGTGCAACTTTTAACTGTTCGTAAAATGCGATGGATCTGATATCCTAGATTTATCTCAACGAAGATAAGCCCACATCAATTATTCGTAGTTTGCGCTCAAGAAACAATATGTGACCATTTTTTAATTGTAATTCTAGTGAATAGATTTCGTCCAATTCAAAAGATTTCTCCTCTCTTGTATTGAGGTATCCCATTGGAGAGCTCACTTTAGGAAGACCTCGCTCGTAGTTCATTATTTTACATAAATATCCAGCCATCCTGCCTGATATGGCCATATCACTTTGCAGCTCGAAACGGAATATTTGATCCAGTTCAGACGGCAGCTTCAAATAAAATCGACATGAAATGAATCCACGTCGTGCCGCGGTTTAACCTTGAGTACGAGCTACTGAAGAGAGTCTTGGAATCATTCATGTCAACGATGTTGCATCGATTCTCACCCATCCACTTATCCACTAAAGTAAATTTTTGGGTCTTTCCCATTTTCCTTTTCCCATCTGGTTTCTGGTTCTGGTGAATATTGACACTTTTCTCTCCCGAGTCCTTTCCGATTTCCCTGCCGGGGTTTCTCAGTTCACTTTGCTTATCGTGACGAATGTGAATGTACTTACAAATACATCAAATGGGACATAAATATTTGACCCAAATTTTTCACTGGTAGGGGGTACAAATAAGATTGTTGTTACTTTTAAAAGCGTAGCTCAGGAGTTCAAGTTGTGCAAACCTCAAGAAAATTTAATTAACTTGAGGGCTCAAGATTCAATTTCTGGCACTTCTTTCTCTATAAACATCTTCAAAATTGATTGATTTCCAAAAATCGAACGATTTCTGAAGCAGAAGGATGCCATAGGCTATACAAGAAATTCAAAAACACCTTTCCCATAAATTTCCGTCTTCTTGTACTTTCACTTCCTCACGAGGTTCGGCTAATGAATCTCAATTCAACGGTCTGGGCAGGTTCTACTCTATTGAATTGGACTTGATTAGCCTTCTGTTCGATGGTAAAGCAGCTAAGTAGACTTTTTAGCCCTTGACAATAATTTCCACTAAAAATAAAACAAATGCAAGGGTTCACTGCACAGTTTGAATGAGCCAAAACGTAGCAAGTTAGTTGGAAGCGATCCCAACCGCAAGAGCGTGCGATCGGTACATATTTCACAACGACTCTGAAAATGCTCAACGGCAACAAGCATATTGCAAACGCCAATACGATAGCAATAGACATCTTAAGTACATTTCTTTCTCTTTTTCTACGTTGATCACCACTGTTGGTCGATCTTTCGCCGGGTATATTCTGTCGTTTGAGTTTTAAATAAACAACTATATAGACTACAGCTATCAAAACCAAAGGAATAAAGCGGAAAAGAGTCAGAACTACCGTATCGTAAGTGAAGGACACGAAAACTTCATTTAAGACTTCACGATAAAGGGTCTGACAAACGAGACTTCCATCAAGAAACATTACCAGATGAGAACCAAGAAAGTAAGGGGAGTGGATACCGAATGAGATGATCCATGTGGCAACAATGAAGAAACGACACAACTTGGAAGCGATGAGTGGGGGTCGAAGAGGATATACCACAGCTCCAAATCGCTCCACTGCTATAAGAACCAGGCTTTGACTTGACACAGAGGCAGAAACGTAGATCATGAACTCTACTAGCTTGCATAGGACCTCGCCTAGAGGTCCAACCACGAGCGAGGTTCCGAAGTACAAGTATATTAGATTCGGCGGGATTACGAAAATCGCAAAGAGCAGATCAGACATAGCCATGTTTACGATTAAGAAGTTGATTGGTTTCCTCATGACTCTAGACTTGAACACGATGATCGAAATCAAACTATTTCCCACCAGCGATAAAACGAAAATCCCGCAGAAAACCAATGTTAGCGCGACTTTTCTCACTGTAGGATTGATGCATTGCAGGTGCAGGTCTGTTCCATTCATCGATGTGTTCAAATTTCCTGACATCTTGCGTTTCAGCAGTACAGAGTTCTACAGCACACTTAGCAATTTTCTCTCTTTTGCAGCTGTACAGAAAGGATTTGGTCTTTTAACTCAGTGTGGAATATTCGTGATCCATGAGCGCGCTGCTCGCGAAAATTGTTCATTTACAAGTCGATGGAATTGTTAAGCGTAGCAGGTGATCAAAAACAGCGGGAAAATGACAGAATTGAATTTCTTATTATA